ATGAAAATAGAAACTTTTAAATTAGAATGATGCATGTTCTTTTAGTACTTCTTATGCATATGGGTTCTGAAAATATTTCAAAGAGAAACTAAATGTATTTCGAATAAAAAATTTCAAACCTAATAACAGAAATTAACTATGAAACTTGATGAGCCAACAATTGTTCAACAACTACATATCAGTCCCAAACAAGTCCAGGGAGCCAACAATTGTCAAAAGGAACAAAAAACAGCTGATCTGATAGTGCTAATTCCCTTGCTAGACACAATTTTATGTTTTTATAGTGTTTTTGTACTACTTTAATTAATTAGAGAATGTTGGAGTCTAAACAGATAAGAATTCAGCATTTTAAAAGGGACCCATGTCTTGAACATTAGAGCTTCTAATATGTTGGTCAGGAATTAGGATATGTAGTAAGCACCAAATCTGTAAATCAATTGAACAATACTATCACACCAAAAAAGAAAAAACATTTGAGCAATACATACTTTTATATATGTATGAATGAGATACCTGCTTCTTCAACTCCAACTGTTTCTCTGACGATGTCTTAGGGGGGCTTAAGTAGCAAGGTCAAAGCTGAGAGTTTTTCTGGACAAAAATGCAAATTGGAAGTTCCTGAATCTGGAGGCAACATCTGGGATCATGACCGTCATCGATGGTCCAAGAATAGATCTGCTCTTTGTACTTATGAGTGGTAAGCTTGTTGACATTCAGTTTGAAGATGAGTACTCTCTCTAGATTAGGTCTTGGGCACCAAAGACTTTCATCTGTTATATTTGGATGGTCATTCTCAGCAATAAGCTCTGCTTGGACTTAGATAATTACACAATGTGCTGGATGTGTCAACCACCGTCATGATCAAAAGTCAAATGTGCCTTATTTTGTGCTCTTGATCTTTTTTCTAAAATATAATTTCACTGGTGTAGTTGGAAATGTAAGAGGCCAGGTCATCTTCCTGAAGATTGTTTGATCACGGCATCAAAAGTTCTACCCGTTTCCTCTGGTCAAGTTGGTGAATCCAGCGAACAGGTTCTACTTCCTTTCTTAAGATCTTAGAAAATAAGCCAGTCGGAAGTATAGTTATATTTTGTTATGCTATTCTCAGAAATACCTTACGCAGGTGGAAGTGGCTCAAAGTAAACCCAGTATATCCAAAGAGCTTCTGCAACTGTATAAAAGGTTCTTTAATTCCCTGTAGTTTTGTTTTCTTAAGTTTCGTCTTGTATACTAAATTTTAATTTGTATCCCTGCAACAATACAGCAGCCTCCCCCCTCCTCCCTGACCGAAGGAAAGTTGAAGAAGGAGAGAGACATTGTCCGTGTGTGCTTGTTTTTTACATGTGTGGTGTGTCTTGACCTTCACTTTGTGTGTGAATATGAGTATTCTCCATACACCGTCGTTAGAAAATGGACCTTGGTGTAACTCAACCTCAAAAGTTAGCTCATGACATGAGAATTGCCTAAAACCATGTATGGACACAACAACATATTCCCTCAACAATTTAGCCCCGTATGTTAAGGTCTAGACATCTGGGATGTGAACAACATTCCATGGGGGACCTGACATCAGGTATATCAAGAATAGCAATGGGTTTGAATCTAATATCTTGTTATGAAAATAGATCTTGGCTAAGCCAACCGAGCTGAGGAATGTCCAAAACGATATAAGGAGATAATAGCTATTTCTCTCCACCAATTTAGGACAATTTAGCAAGTATGCTTCAAGATAATCAACACAATTGACAGCCCTGTGTTATCAATTGCTTACCCATGAATCGCAGGTTCTCAGTTTACCTGTGAATTCCAAGTTATTGGCTCTTCTCCTAGCTTTTATGCAAAGAAACACACGTAATAAGCTCATATGTAACAGTTAAACGTATGCATTTTATGCCGAATATGAATGTCCATCGCTAATATTGGTTTTTGGTCTCTCTTTATCTGCAGATGCCATCAAATTGGCAAAAGCTCATTGGATGCTAATTGTAACACTTGCCGAAGATCAACTACTTTAGCCACGTGTCTTGATTGTAGTAATACCTTTTGTGACAGGTAATTTAGCAGGAGTTGAAGTGAGCTCAGCTTTATGTGCTATATTGCTTGGTGAATTCATGTGTTGCCTCTTTTGACAGCATCAAATTGCTCAAACCATAAGGGATTGATGACATGTTAGGATGGCATAATTTTTGGTGCCTTCTCCTAGTTTGGAATCCCCCCACCTTTTCCCCTTCCTCATTCTGTGTGACCCCTAAAGTAGGTCTATACATGTTGCTTGAGCTTTCGTGGGACAACGTGACAGATGACTCTTAAAGAATCTATTCTCTTTTATTGGGAGATAATGGGGAGGGTCCCCCACTTTCATGGTTGAATATAACCGATTAGGATTCAAATGAGGAGCTTGGATTTTGTGATGAAACTGAAGGGATGCTAGGATTTATAATTCTGATACCTTTTGAACATCACAGTTCTTGGCCTTCTTAACCAGTGAAGCTTATGATTTATTCAATTTGTAATGAAGGAGAATTGGTTAATCTTTATCTATGGTGATCTCAGTGCAGGTCACCTGAGAGAACACATCACTGGACACCCTTCTCACCGACAATATTACTCCTATAAGCTCAAGCGTTTGGTAATGCTTTCCTATCTTAGTTCCTGTAATTTCAATTTGACTTAGGTTATGATTCATATCATAAATACGTGTAAAATGTGACAGTTATGGAGAGCGTTACGCTTCTAATTCTTGTTATTACTATAATTTTTGCATTTTAGTCATTATTAGGACGTTTATCAATTTTGTTGAAGATCAGTTGTGCCAAAACATAATCTTGGAATATTAAATAAATACAAGCTTTAGTTTGTTTATGCTTACTTTTGGACCATCATGAAAAAAGTTTAGTTAATGTGGTATACCATTGCAGTGCAAAGTCATATAAGCTTGTCATAGTACTAGATTGAGCAGAACTCCCTGTTTCATTGTCTGTCAGCATTCTGAATCACTGCTTCTGATTTTTAACTCGTCCTAAGAGAGATTTTGCCAGGTATACCCATTCCCCCACCCTAAAGGAGGATTGCTATAGGTTGTTGCCAATGTAAAAGTAATCTAGTTATGTGAGGGATGCAAACTCCAAAGCAAAGCATTCATGGGAGAGGATAGTACTAGGGTAGATGACCCCCTACGAAGTCCTTGTTTGTGTTCCTTGGCAGCCAACTTGTTTGGATTGACGTGTAGTTGATTAATTTATATTTGACACTGATTTTAATTTTATCACCATTTTGGTTGCTCTTGATATTTTTATTTATTGCTGAGTTTATCATATTGACCTGTATGTTTGACATTCTTAATGATTCAATCTTTATTAAATGTAGGTAAAATGCTGCAAATCTACGTGCAGAGTGACAGACATCAAGAATCTTTTAGCTTGTCACTATTGTTTTGATAAGGCTTTCGACAAGTTCTACGATATGTATTCTGCAACTTGGTATGTGATGGTGTTACACCTAATGATGCTGATATATTTTATGAAAGCATGACTTGACTGGTCATATCATTTGACATTTCAACTTTGAAATTACCAAGGTCAAGAATTTAGGTCCTAGGGAGAGTGATAATTGCTATTGGTGCCCCTTCCGTAAGGCCCATCCCAACTAGAAACACAACTTATATCCAGTATAAAAATGAAGACAACTTATTCTAATGTCATGTTAAAATGATTAATATTCCATCACAATGTGGTTTAGTTCAAAAGCTAGTCTGTTGTATAGCATGTACAACTAAAATTCTCTTGAATCCAATCCGTAAGCTATCGCCTCTCTGAAACTTCTTCATTGCCTGGGGTAAGTATTTTATTCCTTGTAAATAACCAGTTAATTTATGTTGTTGTATTCAGGAAAGCAGCTGGACTTTCAATTATCTGCAATTCTATTTGCTGTGAGGATCACTTTGAATGGTAAGTCATGAATTTTAATAATTTCTTGCATCTTTTGAAATATCCCATCTACACAACTCTACTACAAGAGCTACCTCCACAGGCACAGGATTAATTGCTTGAGTGCGGGTGTAGAAGACAGTTCCTACATCGTAAAGAAACATTCTGCTTGTGAGAACTACGCTTTGAGCGACTTCATCTTCTGAATAATTGCGCAGCAAGGTACCATGCATCAGAAATCACGAGCTGTACGAACATCTGTTTAACTTAGTTCTTTGAAGATTCGGTGTGAAGCTGATATACTACATATCATCATCGTATGTGGTTGATGCTTGGTGAGCTACAGTACGGTAAATGATTCAACTTTCCAACACCATTCTAAATTCAGACTCAAGAAGCATTCTCGAAGCACAGCTGAAAAGAGAGAAGAATTTGCCCGTTCATTAGATACTCTTTTTCTACGAGATGCTGGGAATCCCTTGTACCACATAGTATGTAGATTTTGAAGAAGAGTATTTGGAATGTCAATTGCAAGGCAATGGTTTCTGATGTTTGTCGTGTGCTATAAGGTGCCAACGACCATTTGGTTTGTATTTTCTTGGAAATTTGGAGGTGGAAGAAGATATGAGATACTTATGATGCCATCATATCCAATTCCATGTTCCCTATGTTGTAAATTCACCATAACCAGGGGCGGAGCTATGTATAAGTTTTACTTGTTTTTACTTCTCGTACAATTGAGTAACATACATAATCTTTACAAATTTTACTTGTTTTTACTTCTCGAACAATTGAGTAACATACATAACTTTTACGGCAGAACATACTTACCGTTTGAGCAAGTTCGTGCATTTAAAAATTTCAAATCGTCCATTACGGAGGTTATTTTTGCAAATCATTTGGATAATTTTTATAAAAAAAATAACCCAAATCTTAAAAATGAATTGTATTTGAAGGTCAAAAGTCTAAAAATCTTGTTTAACTTATAAAATAAGGTCAAAAAGTTTAAAATCACCCGCCGAAAGCCAGTGCTGTAAACCGTCAGGTTCGGCCCATTATAAAACAAGCTTGAACCAGAAACCGACCCGATACCGATTTCCTGATCAACTTCAATTCATCAGAAATTAGGGGTATCAATTTCCCCAATTCATCGTCTGTTGTTCCGGAGATTTAAAGCAATCAAGCTATGGGAGGCCACGGAGGTTTGAACATTCTTCCACAGAAGCGATGGAACGTGTACAACTTCGATAACCGTGAGAAAGTAAAGCGGGACGAGGAAGCCGCGGCTAAAGAGGAACAGCTCAAGCAGGAACAATCTCGTAAGCGCGATTCCGAGTATCGGCTCGAGCAGCTCCGTCAAGCCCGTGGCTTATCATCATCAGCAGCGCCGTCGTCTTCATCGTCTAGTCACGTCAAAAAATCGTCATCAGAACAGAAATCGCCGGAGGAGAAACCGGGAAAGAAGGATTCTAACCACATCAACTTGTTCGAAGGGATTCGAATCTTCGATCCAGTTAAAGCAAAAGATGAGGAGAAAGACGGAAGGGATAAGAAGAGAGCGAAGAAAGAGCAACCGCCGAGAGTTATTACTCCGGAGGATGAGAAGTATAGGTTAGGGTATGGGATTGTTGGTAAAGGAACGAAATTGCCATGGTATTTGGAGAAACCGAAAGAGGATTCCGGTGAAAAGAGTGACGAAGACAATGATTACTCCAGACCTGTGAAAAAGAGTAATGGGAAAAAGACAGTGGAGGAATTGCGACAAGAGAGGTTGGAGAGGGAGAGGAAGGAGAAGGGAAGAGAAAGAGCTTTGTTAATGGAGAAGAATCGAAGAGATGGAGGATTCTCGCGACGAAGATGAGGTGAGCATTGGCACTTTAAAGTTGCTAATGAGTTAGTCGGTCTGCTTTGTAAAGATCATTACTTGGTTTGATTGTTTACAATTTGTTAATGTTTTTCAATGTAATAAGCTATCAATTCTGGTGATTCGTAAAGCTTTGTGAAGATCATTGCTTGTAGTTCAGATTTTCATGTATTTCAACTTCTTTCAAGCTCGTATGACAATTTCTCAGTAAGTGAAGTTTTGGTACTTGGGTGGTGGCTTAGGTTCAGAAGTAGGTTAGTTAGAACTGACAAGTGATAAAGATTTCTCTTTGTGAGCATGCCCCGAATCTCAATTCTTGTGATCCTAACATTTTAAGCAATACTACATAAAGCCTAAAGCTTCTCTCTTGGAAACCAAGCATAGCTCTTTGAATAATGAAGTAAAGATTTCTTCTTTAACAAGCTTCTCTAAGTTTCAGGCGGTTCAGATGGAGAGAAAGTACATTCTCGTGGGTAGATTGCACGATTCCTTATTTTTCTGAAAGAACAAAAAGTTAGAAGTAGTCTCTAGTGTAGAAGAATTTCCGACAAGACTCTACCAAGTGAACTCTGAAGTATTTTCCATCCTGTGTCTTCTGGTTTCAGAAAGCTTCGTAGAGGTACAGAATCAACCCATTCTTCAGATTTCTTGTAGGATGTTAGGGGTTTTGAGTTGAATTTCATGAACTCTATTGGAGCATTACATTCACCCAGGCTTTGCAGGGTTTATAGTGTGATGACCCAGCGTAAAATAATTGGTTAGAATTTAAATATCAATCTGTTTACCAAAAATTTATGGGTCATCTTGGTATTGATTTAAATGGAATTTCTGCAAGATCCTGTTAGTCCTGTGGCAATTAATTTGGGAGAGAATTTCCATTTTGAGACCTCTTATAAATCTCATCAGGATTCTTTTTTTTCCCTTGAAATATTTGTTCATTCAACAAGAATGCTGTCTAACATTTTGGTATAGCTTAACTTATGAGTCAAGAGTGGGACATATATTTTTTTCTTTTCGACAGATTTTTGTATTTTCGAAGCGCTCTTGAGGTGTATCTACACAGTGTTGTGTACTCAGTTTGGAGAAAGTTCTTGAGGGAAAGTTGTAGAGATTGTGTGTGGGGAGAGGGAAAGTTCTTGAGGGTACACTGCATATCATTTGTTTTAGAAAAAAGGTGGGGTGGGAGGAATTGCTGCCATTTCTAATTATGGATCATTTGAGCAACTGCAAAGCTGCAGGGGGTTGGTAAATCTCTGGCTGATTAGAGATTGTTTTCATTTGTTAAAAGCTGGAATCTTTCTTTACCTTTTTGTCTGTATTTTCCTCTAGTTTATTGGTACTTTAGACTTGGAAGCTGTACTTGTCAAGTTTGTTTATCTTCAAATTTCTCCATTTACAAAATCGTGTTTTGGAACGTTCGATCGATGTATGTGTATATTAGGAGATATAAAATCAGAATTAAGAATATACAAGACAAGATGAAAGTTGTTCACAAATGGAGGACAACTGTGTGAAACAAGATTAAGATTATTTGACCATGCGAGGAGGAGAGGTACGGATGTCCAAAATGTGAAGGTGTGAGAAGTTGACTTTAAATGGTTTTGGAAGAGGTAGGCGAAAGAAGTATAAGGAAAAAGTGATTAGGCCACATATGACTCAGTTTTAACTTACTGAAAATATATATGATCTTCGATTTCTACTACTAGCTATTATTTCTTATATTTCGATTATATATTATTTTTTATAGTTACTGTTTAGAATGCTTTGATATACTTCTACTACTGGCTATTGTTTCACAAATATTTTTCTTTTTTATTGACTCAAACCTCAACTGACTCGGACATCACGCCTACCAAATAAAAATATACATATGGGCTAACCGTCTAAGGTGTTGGACCTAGTGGCATTAGGCTAGTTGATTGACCTGCTCCTCATTAATCATATGGTTAGTTGGCGGCTTTTTCAAATTATTATTACAACTATAATTAGGTATTCCATTCTCGTGATTTTAGATTTCGAAATTTAAATAAATTTAATTTTATTATAATTTTTTCTTATATTTTTTAAATACTTTAAATTATCAATTATTATGACTTATAGTAAATAGAGTTTACAAACATATAAATATCATTTTAAGAAATTAAAAATTTCAGAAGCAAATTTTATCAAATTTAAATTGTTTAACTCTTAAAAAATGATTTTTATATAAATTTAGACAAAAAGAGTATTAAAAATACCTATCATATCTTGCCAGTAGCTGTTTTACCTGCTTCACATACTAATAAATAAATTATGGTACTTCCCATACAGATAAAATAAACTACTAATATCTTTGGAAAAGCTCTGATTCTTCCGAATATGAGCACCTGCTATTATATTAATTCTCCGTCTCAATTTATGTAATACTAATAAATTTTATATAAAATTTAAGAAAAAATAAACAAATTTTAGACATTCAAATGACTAAATCATTTCATTGTGTAAGAAAAAAATTAAAATTAAATTATTTAATTATAAAAAGTAACATTTTTTTCCGAAATAGCTTAAAATGAAAAAAAAATGCGACATATATTAAGATAAAGTTTTAAAATATAGGTATGTGATGGGAACATGAAAACCACCTTGAAGTAAAAAAAAAAAAAGGTATAAGTTCGTTATTGATGGACATAACATGCCAAACTCTTAGCCAACTATTCCTCATTACTCTAATTTTGAATACATTTATCTTAGGGTCTGTTTGGTACCAAAGGAATAAATATCTTTCTTGAAAAAAAAATTTGGTTTGCTATTATCTTATATGTTTGATTAGTTAAAAATGTTTTCAAAAATAAAAGAAAATGACTTTATAGTAAGAGTAGGAAAAATAAATTTTATACAACACAATTTTATGTTATTTGTCTCCTCCACACCCACAACGCAATAATTCCCAACCCCACTCATATAGAGGTTAAGTCATAATTAGGAATTTGAGGGTTCTGTTAAGCATTAATCGATTTTATTAAAGGGTTACAAAGTTAATACACATATATTTATTTAATTTTTTAATACATAGAATCTATGAGAAAGCTATTGAGTTTGTCTGAACCTACGAACCCCACTTCGCTTCGCCTCTGCACTCATATAGGATTTTTTTAGTCGATTATATATAAATACTTTTGAGATATTATTTTTTGTTTGATTATCAAATACATAAGAAATTAAAATCACTTATAACATTTTGCAAACACACCTTAATAATCTATGTAATCTGGCACATAATGACATAAAGGCAAGATTATAATAATAAATATTCTAGTTTGTTCCTATACGTTAAATATATTAGAGTATAAATGTTGAAAAGTGATCAAATATATTAATTACGATAGATAAGGTTTAGTAGGATTATTAATATATATGTTGACCAGGCTGTAGAATACAATAATTAGTCCATTAGGCCAACAATTCTCTTCCTCATAATCAGAGAAAGAAAATCTCAGAGCAATAGAATGGAGAAATCAAAATGCCAAAAACAAACTTTGTTTAGTGTTGCTAATCTTAAGCTTCCCTCAGTAAGTTTTTAATTAATTAGTAATTTTTTTTTCTTTCATCATCTTAATTTGTGTTTTAGCAAAGGAAAAAAATATAATTATGTATTTAGATTTCTTATGAAGGTTAGTGGATATTAGTTTCAGGTGGTGGTGGTGAATGCAGATTTGGGATGCACACATTGTAGGAGCAGAATATCTCAAATCATGTCAAGAATAACAGGTATAAAAAAAAATTAGGGTTATTATATGTTTGTAATTTTTATTACATTTTAATAATCGTGATGTTTAGAGTCATCTCGTTATTTATATGTTAACATATAAAAGTAGGGAAGATCAGAAATTTTTTATGAGGTATTGGTATTTTTTTACCTCAGCGAGAAATGGATGGTTCTTAATCCATTTCATTGACAACTAGATTAAATTCTTGATTGCATAAATCACTAATTTCATATGGCACCTACACCTCCCACTATTACATATATCGACAAATGGAAAAAATCACACTTGTTTGTTTTAACTTTTAATATATATGATGAAGTTTGATTTGACTGAATTTAAGAAAGAAAGAAAAACTTTTGAAACTTATAACTCTAAAATCAGGGGTGGCTCGACAACGTTAAAAAAAAAAACATGTGCCTTAGGCCTCCAAATTTAAGAGGACTCGTTTTCAATAATAATAGGATAAGTTTGTTTTTTTTAATAAATATTGAATAGTATTTGTAGAAAAAGTTAACTTTTCATGAAAAATGAAGGAAATAATAGAAGAAATTTGACATATTTAGAATGCTATATGTATGAAAAATAATTTAAAATAAGAATGGTTATATTATCAATTGAAAACTAGAAGAAATCAAATTATATAAAAGTTATTAACAATTCAAGTTTTAAGGCCTCAGTTGAATTTTTGTTTTAGGCCACTAAACGCTTGAGCAACCCTTGTCTAAAATAAGTTACATATATGTTTGTGTACGTAGAAATCATTTTATCAAAAAATAAAATGGATATTTTAGACTTATATTATTATTAAATATAAAAATATTTTATTCTTTAATTTTTGGGATGGACTAAAAGAAAAAAGTGAGTCATATAAACTAAGACATTAGGAGTAATATTTGCTTACGCTGTAATTGTAATTATTTGATGTGAAATTTTATGATTCTCAACTCACTTCAGGACAAGCGCAGGAATTTTAAATTAAATTTACCTATTTCCACTGGTTAGGTGATTTTACTCTTAGCTACCTTTATGCACTTGTAGTAAAAAGCTTTTATACATGCTCATAAAGTTCTGAAATTTGAATAATTGTGACTAATATTGACAGGGATGAGGGAGTATACAATAGATGTGGGTAAAAAGCAAGTGATTGTAAGAGGAGATGTTAGAAATCATCACCAGAAAAAAAATGGTGCAGTAAAGAACCACAAGATCAATGAACACCATAGCCGGATTTTCGCCTTCTTCTTTAGTTTACTGAACTTCCATTGGAGCACGAGCAAGAAGATGACTGATTAATCGAGAGAACAAAAAGAGTTTGATTGATGAACATTCATTCATGGGGTTGACAAGTATGAATATATCATGCTAACAAAGGAGTCAAATACACATTCTTTCAAATGTTTATTTGTTGGGAATCTTTTGCTTCCATTTGATTACTTTAAGCTTCTCCTTTTGTTACTTGTATAATGTTTCTAGTTTCTTTATACTCTGCCCCATGATCTTTATACACATTAACATGCTTAACACAAAGAGGTAAGGTGTAGCATACACACTACCCTCTTCAGACTCCACTTATGGAATGGAATTACACCAGGTATGTTGTTGTAGTGAACTTAAATAAGTACTCTCTTCGTATCAATTTATATGGTAGTGTTTCACTAGGCACAAAGTTTCAGATAGTAAAGAAGACTATTGAAACTTGTATATATATTTGTGTGGCTATAACGAACCTCCTAACTCTCCAAATAGTAAACATGTCAAGCTAAGTGGAATGGAGTACCAAACATTCAATGGACACACAAGAAGAAATACCATTTTTCTCAAACAACATTTGCAAGCATTTGATCCCTACTAATTGAGTAATCCAACAACCATCATGTAGTACAGACCTTTGATCAAACATTTCCCAAAATAGTACAAAGTTTTCATACTACAAAGGATATATCAACAAGATGAACAAAAAGAGACCTTAAGACATTCAATCTTCTCCCATCTCACCTTTAATTACCATTCTAAGAATACCATTTTTCATTTGTGCTTCAACCTTCTCAGCTTTACAGCAATCAGTGCTAAACTCGAGACTCCCTCCGTATTTCCTCCCTGATTCCTCAGATTCCACTTCAATGTCTCCTTTGCCAGTGAAGTAAACCGTGTTGTTCTCTAACCAGACCTTAATCCCATCTTCACCAACGCTAGGCATTGCCACTCTCACAAGTATACCATCCTTCAGTGTATCCACTTCTAGCACCTCTTTCGGTCCTGCTGACTGAAACGGGTTCTCCATCTTGAATTCTTGTGGAGAACCCGTCACCAGAACTGCAAATAAACACAGGAAATTGAAAAACAGAGCTTCGACCTTCAATGGAAGTAAACAAAAACAACCATTAGAGCTCAATCTCAACACCGACGTCTGAGCCATAATAATCATTTAATTTCTTTTTGGGTAACACTGACGTCTGATCCAATTTCGTACACCTCAACTTTACCACCAGATAACGCTACCTCCCCCAACATAGACACATCAAGTAACTCTGATCACTAAATCTTAGGCACCTGAAAAGAAATTAATTGTTGTGTTTTTGTATCTTGCTGAGATTTGAACCTAGACTCCAAGGTTTGCGTTCACGTCACTGACCACTATGCTACTACGCTAGTATAGATTTTTTTTCCCCAATAATGATGGTGCTTTGCCAGCTTACACGCACATAGACTATTCCACTAGATACATGTTACCTCGCACCCGCACAAATACATAGTTACCAAGTGACTCTGCTCGCGCAATATTGAGCAAAAATTTCGGCAAATAGAAAGAAACCTATAGTTCCATTTTTGGTTTGTTTCATACTCCTACTCAATTTCTTTTAGGATAAATAAATTAGCAATATTCTCTTATTAACACACCAATTTCAATTCTTCAATCAAATCTCTAAGTAAACCAAAAATACTCTGAACACAACATAAAGGGAGTTGATTTCTCAATTAATCGCTTAATTAACACTTATTATCTTAGAAAGTCACTTTCTTCTTTGATTCCAATTTTCTTTAAAAAAAATATAACTTTTTGAGATAATAAATAATCATATGCGAAGTACAGCCAACGTAAATGTGTTGATAATCCGCTCGACATAAAATATACATTCTACCTAATGTATATTAACAAATATCACATAACATAAAGTGTAAATAAGAACAAGAGGTAAACGGATGAATCAATTACTTGGCTCAGTAGAGTTTTTCTGCTCATTGCTCAGGGAATTTGAATCTGCAGTTGTAATGGAGGAAAAAAAGCGTGTGATTGAAGGAGCGGCGGTAGTAAATTTGGATTTAGAGCTGAGTAATTTGAACAGTGTCGATGCTCCGGCGGCTTTTCTGATAGTCAGAGCCATTGACATTTTCCCCGATCAATTTGTGGTTTTCTCGATCAAGGGTTCTAGAGTGGTTTATGGAAATGGTACCTTCCGGTTTGATATCTTGGGCCTAATTTTGGACCATTAGGCCCATGTAAACTACATGGGTTGAGACATATAGGCCCATAGTCAAACAAACCAACAATTAGTTCCCCATTCATTAATTGAAACCCATCTCTCCCCCACCCCCCACCCTCACCCCCCACTCCCCCACCCCACACACACACCACACACCCCAAAAAAAAACAGAAAAGAGATCATAATATTATTTTTTAAAAATAGTTGTGGAAAGAAAAGAGAGACCCAATTTGAGAATTGAATGAAAATTGATTTTAGAATTGCTAATTTAATTTTGCAAGGCGTTTTTAGGGCGAGCTTTGTGGCAGAGCATAGTATAATGCATTAGAAGTGATTTTTGAGGGTAAAAGTATCGTAAGGGATAACCTATTTAGTTTGGATATACATGTAGGAGTTAGACGAGTTTTTATTTGAGAGAATAACTCAAAAAAATCTCTTCAAATTATAATTAAAAATAGCTAATTAAGTCCATCAATTAATATATTTCTTTAAAAAACACCATAATTCAACTTGATGTTAAATTTTAGGAAGTTAAAAATCAAAATAGTCTTCATTCAACATGAATTTAGAGGCATAAAATTTAAACCTTGATTCATTTGAAACAATTATGGAAGTTTCACTCAAAGGGATTTTAACTTCTTCTAGCTACACATTAATTGTTATCTAGCTTTTTGTTATTAATATATCACAACAATTTACTATTAGTTTCACATATTATCTGCTACCTCCCACGTTTAAAGATAATAGATAACTCTATCCACTAAGAATAATTGAACAAATGAGTAGCTACACTTCTTATCAATCCATTTAAAGGAAAATAAAGCTAATGTTTGCCAGCTTCTGTTATTCCCTACCCTCTCACCCTGTTGTACTACATATTTCATATATCACCATCACTATTGTTGCTCTTGTAACATACCAATGTGTGTTTAAAAACTGCCCAGATACTCCAAAATGTTGCTGCACTCTTATCGGATTCTAAAAAAAAATTATTTTTAAAAAGTCCGAACAACATAAATTACATCTTACAAGGTGCAAGTTCAGACCTTCTGATTTCTACGTTGCTTATGATGGATCAAACGTTCTGATTTCAAAGGAAATGCATTTGATTTGTAGTAATTATACCAGAAGTACTCAATCAAGCTCATGAATAATACATCAAAATTTCCAAAAGAAACCAATGTTCTTTTTCAAGTACTCATATCATAACACTTCAAAAATCAAGCTAAAAGAGTAATTGATATCATAAAATCCATAGAGTTGCTTGAAATTCGCCAGCGCTCAGCAAAACATCTAAGCAGATATCTGTACACAATTACTTCAATAATCTTGTGCAAATATATAGTTCACTATTTCACATCAATGACATGATATTCACAAGCAAAATTTACTTAACTTTTATCTCATAGTTAGAGCCAGTCACCTTCTGAGGAGTCTTAGACTTGGGGATTAGCATCCTAAGAACACCATTCTTCATGTTTGCTTCCATAGACTGAGCCTCATACGAATTCGAACAGATTTCAATGTTAGCACTGTACGTTCTTCCGCTGTCCTCATACGTAGACTCCTTCTTTCCTTCACCCTTTATGATGATAGTCCCATACGAAATCAACACCTTCACGTCTTCCTTGTCGATTCCAGGCATTTCCATTCTCACGTGCATCCCCTCCTCTATATTCTTAGCCTCATATGCCCCTCCAGGTCCAGAAATTTGAAACGGATTCATCATATATGCATCACATGCACCTTGACAGAGAGTAGTACGAAAAAAAAATACCAAAATTATCAGACATTTCAAAAATTGCAATCCAAAAGACGCAAAAATTGTTCCAGACTTGAAACAAATGAACAAAAATCAGATCTATGGTAAGCAATTTAACACCAGCACTTAAATTTGAGTTTGAGCTAACAATAGTTTCTGTTACTTAGCAATGTTATATCAAAGGCAAAATTTGGCTGGCTCTGATGAAGAAAAAATACAAATATACCTGCGTTATCCATCTCAAAAAATTATATGAATGAATAACAAATATATGAAAAAAAAATTTTGAAACAGAACTTGAAATATCAGTTGTTATATTGGCAAGGAAACGTCTGTCTCAGAGCCTCACTTCAGGATAAAGAGTTAGAAGTAATCACGGATCAACTCGTGGAATTACATAAGATATGTTGTTGTTGTTATTAAATTCTTCACATAATAAATATTCAAAATTGTGCAAAACGAAATTAGGCAAAAGAGAGGGAAAAAAAAACAATGATACCGCGATGAATAGGGAACTGCTCAAATCGAGCGAAGGAACCTCCACAGGCATTGATGATGAAGCTTTCTTCATTAGAATCCGTAACGGAAACACTACCTACATAGCTTAAGAATCGAGAAGTTAACGGTGCAAGCGACCCAGTAAGTCCTCGTGAAGAAGGCGCATTGTTGAGTAAATTGTAGAAAAGAATTGATGAAGAGCTTATTCTCCTTAAAGCAGTACGAAACGCCATTGTTGTAGCAGAACAGAGTTTTTGCAGTTACTTCATCACCCAAGTAGAAAACAGAGTTTTGTATTGAGATCTGTCTTGACCTTCAAGCCAGCTCCCCCAATATTTACGCTCAAAATATGACTGGACGGGGTAATATAAAAAATAAAAAAATAGCCTTTAAAATAATGATTTTAACTAGCTTAGGTATGTAATTGGAATAAACATGATTATGATCCTTTTTAATTTAGGATCAATCCATAATTATAATCTTTAATTTTGAAATTTATTTAAAATTAAATAAATGAACACATTCATCTTGAGTAACATTTTATATGACAATTTTATATCCTACCTAGTATTTTATTTGTATTAGATTATGTAAGACATTTATTCTTTGACGTTAAGTTAGAGTCATGACTTTGAAAAAATTATTACTGTTATTATATTTCATGTTGTATTGTATGTTTCGTATAAAAGAGTTGTAGTTAAGTATTACCATCATTATTTATCAGTGAATTTTCCTAGTTAATAGGGGTGTGCAAAAACGAACCAAAATATTATTATTGGGTTGTTGAAATTTTTAATGGATTTATAATAAAAAGTTATTGGGTTATTGATTTTTACTATGGGGTTATAGACGGTAATAATTTATAACATTATCCTTCATAAATATTAAAAATTAGTAATTAATGTATAACTAGGCATTATAACCATATCAAATTATTAGTATTCTATTACTCCACACTAGTTCGCAATTATAGCTATTTGATTTTATTTTTATTTTGTAATTGTAAGTTGTAGTTTTCGCAAATTTATAAGTAAGATTAACATTAGAAATTTTATTTTATATTTTGGCGGCCATGACGTATAATTGTAGTTTTTGAACTATGTTTTCTTTTATTGATGTAATTTCTCATTATTTTTCTTGTTTCACTTTATTAAAATATTTAAAGAAGTGAGAAATTATAATATTTACTGACATTTTTTTATTGGATAAACCAAACCAATTATTGAATAGTATTTTAAAAAATCTAAAACCAACTCAATCAATACACACCCTACTAGTTGACACTTAACATGCTCATTTGAAGAGCTAAATTTCTACTAGATCAATAAAGAAATTAGAAGACCGATTAAAAATCTATTTGCATAAGCTTAGAACTTAATGAATTAAATAAAATATGATGTGAGAATTTAACTTCAAATTTTGACTTAAAAATAAATATTTTTAAAGTAATTTTACATGAAAGTATTACGAATAAAAGTGTAAAAATAACCGTCAAATATAGATAATCCATTTAATTTGTCTAAAATTTCAAGTGTCAGGACTCAATTAGATTTAATCTCATAACATAACTCATTATACGAAATCCTCAAATAAACTCAATTCAATCTCCAATTTCAATTTATTTTAAAAAAATTATTAAAATATATTTTTATATTTATAATATAAATTATTATCTATTAATATCTTCTAGAATTTATCTTATCATTTTTTACTTTTTTTTAAAAATAATTATGTTATAAAAATTAAATATTAATATGTTAAACTTTTGAGATTATCGGATCAAATAAGGCGAGTTAAAACTCAATCATATTCAATCCATTTGAACCCCACTCGTTAAAGCCCAATGTAAACTTGGACCAATCAAAACCAACTCAATATTTATTTCACTCACATTTTAATATTCTTAATTTCAAGATAATCCATCTATTTAAAACCCTAATTATAAGTTTAAAATTTAAAACCCAAGACTGGAAGAGCCCTATAGCTCACAAAATAGCTACAATTGTTAAAAGAGAACAAACAAAAACATTAAGAGAAAAGTATACTCAACTTTCCAGTTTTCTAATTGAACAAACTCTTACAATCAGAATTCCAATTTTTAGCACATAATCTTTTATTTTCCACAAACCAACCTATCTAAGAACTAAAAAGTTGAAAAAGTTAATAACATCAACACTCAATTGTTGCACAAACTTGGCAAAGCTTAAAAGCTCTCACTCAATTTTAACATCGAAAACATCCTTCCTTTCTTCTTGCTTCACCTTTGGAACAGCTACTTTCAACACTCCATTCTTCATCTCCGCCTTGATTCCATCCAATTTGTAGATATTTTGAGGAATTTCCAGTCTGGTAGAGTACCTCCTTCTATACTCTTCATTCTCCGACTCTTTCTCGCCTTCTCCTTTGATTATCAGCGTGTTCTCCTCCACCGCCACCTTCACATTCTCCTTATCGAGTCCAGGCATGTCCATTTTTATATACAGAGCGTTATCGTCCTCCTTTACATCCCATCCTCTTCTTGCTCCAACTCCGGCGCCCATTGCACGCGGTGCAGCTACGAATGGAGAATCCATCATTTGATCCATCATGTTCAGCAATTGGCTCACGCTCCTAATTGGTGGTGAAAATGGATCAAATACATCTGTCAACCCAAAAATTCCAAATGAGTCCACTAGGATGATGGTGTAATTAGTTTAACAGATCCGACTTATCATTATCATACAATAAATCACAAACCTGAAGAGTTACATTTGTAAAACCAAATTAAAGTCCAAACGAGTCTAAACGTACAATAGTTTCTAGTTTAACAGTAACAATGCCAACGAATTGTAATACTGAATCACAAATTTGAGTAAAACAGAGTTTGGAGAAGTTACCTGAGAATAAACTAGGAAAAGCATCACGGCGAGAGACGGATCGATCGGACCGGCGGTCAACATCAACGCCACGATCATCCTGGTCATAAGCTGTCATCTGAGTGTTAGTATTGAATGAACGGAAAGCAGATGCAGAACGAACAGGATTGACGAGCCTGTTGAATAGTGATGAGGCGGTGGCCCTCCTTAGAGCAAGAGTTGCCATTTCTGATACCAAAAGATTTCTGAATAACTTGCCGATTGAGTAAAGCTTCACGTTGTGATTTTTTTTGTTGGATAAGAATGGAAAATGAGAATGTGATGCTTGGGTTTTATATTTCGTTAGTGACTTGGAGAAGGGGAAAAAAAGACTCGAGAAACTTTTAGAAGCATCATGTAGAATGTTCCAGAATTGTGGCGTGAGGATGTGTGAAGACGCTTCTAGAAGCTAGTAGACAATATACATAACGCTTCTGGGTTTTTCAAATTACTATTATGTCCTTAACTTTTATTCAATTATTTTTTATCAAATAAGTGAAACTTAACGTGAACAAGATGTCGATACGTCTTAAAAATTTAAATCTAACTTGTCCCTTAACTACAGCAAAAAATAGTCATTCTTCTTTCGCCCTTTACGATAATTGACTTTTTAGATTTTATTCTACCTAGCATTATCAAATGCTTCGATTAACTACGATTTTGAACCATTATATTTGAAATATTCGAAAAAGCTCGTTCATATTTACAGAAAGTAGAAACAAAAAGTCAATTTACGATCCAACACGAGAAACTACAAGTTATATAAAATTATAATATAGGCCAATTGAAAGGTTCTAGCTGCACAATTTTTTCCTACTAAAGGCTGCAGCTAACTAAGACAATGTGAGAATTGCTGCTATCACCGGCTACAATCTCTTTTCTTTCACTGATCAATTCTGTTGAGTTGAGATACAGATGTAAAATGATGAATGCTCATGACTTTTTGAGAATGTATCCCAAAAGTATTCCCAGCAAGCCAACCACGACGACAGGGATGAAGGAAACGCCACCTCTGCGACTTCTAGTCATATCACGTTTTACAAGTTCCTACAAAAAGGATTCATGATTCATGAAGTAGAGCATTGTGACTAAAGGATAACAAACAGTCAGACCCAAACTGTTGAAAGACAGACATTGTTTAAAGTTTTAACCACAAGAATGAGACCTGGACTAATCAGGAGAAAAGAAAAACAAAACCAAAGATGGGAAAGAATGACAGAAAAGCGTTGGAATTTTAGGCTACATGAAAAAGAAATCAAAGAAACAAAGATAAAAGCTCACCAGCTCTTGACGAAGTTTGTTGCTCTGCTGAAGGGCAGCAGCCTTTTCAGCCATCAATCTGGAAATAACCGATTTTGCCTGAAATTTACAAAGTTCTGTTTAGTCATATCAACTGCAATAAGAAAGCAGGCCTATATATCCTTTTGGACATATTTATAGATCGAGTCTGTAACTCTAAGCATCAAAAGATCAAAGGAATCTAGAAGGTCATAAAACCAGAGTAACTAGATGATAAATAGTAGGTGTCCATTTCCAGAAGTGGGAAAATTAGGAAACCGGAAACAGAAAAGCTTTTGCTGAAGAAGGGGGAACATAGTTGAAGCAAGTAATCCAATTGGAAAGCCAATCGGGAATTTTAATCCTTACGTTTCCTTCTCTAATTTGTTCTTAGTAGACATAACATAATGCAACCACAAACCTTAAGAAGTGCTTTCGTCTGACTGATGCTTAACCGACAAACACATACATGACTGCTTTGTTCATTAACTTTTTAACAAAGCAAAAGGTGAAAATAACCTGGCTAGCGCTATGTCAACTAAGACACCAGTATCACTGCCTCATACACCAAAACATTTTTAAATTTACATCCTGTAGTTAAGTCAGGTATTTCACCTTTTTTGGTTTTGAAAAAGGAGTTAAATGTATAAGAGAAGTGAGATGGTAGTACAAATCTAGCAGCCACCTACCCAAAATAGGACCAAAAAGGTGCACTAATATGCACACTAATTTGAGTTTTAGGGTAAAAAGGGGAAGTAAAAGAGGAAGGCCAACTGGTCATTGCCCTCATTCTACAAGAAAGGAAATGAGGAAGTTTTGGTACCCCTCCATCACCTTTTCAGCGCATCCTAAGTTGGATAAAAAAGAGAGGAAGTATCTCTTTCACGACAACTTTCTGATTGTGACTATACCCCAGAATGACTGATGCTCCTCCACCTAGGAAGTAACTAACCAGTGAACTTCCCTCACTTATCTTTTCCTTCTCCTTTTCAGAACCATACATAGCTTAAAAGAATGAGGGAAGAAATGTAGAATTAAACATGAAAAGAGTGATATTCACTTAATTGCATCATTCACTACATTTCAAGATAAAGAATATTTGAAGAGTCAACACAGAAGAAAAAATCTAAAAATATTTAATAGTCCATCAATCCCAATTTGTTTGGCATTGTTTGACGAGACATGAAGTTTCAGAAAGAAACGAAGACTTTTGAAAATTTACCCATTTATGAATAAACTACCAAAGTACCCTTGTACAAAACAGTCTTGTATCTGGTGGAGCAAACAAGAAGTCATGTCAACGGTAAAATTGGAATGTTAAAATTAGTAGATACATTCTGAATATTTTTTGGGAATGGACATTAGGAAGGTCGGAATAATAAATTAGAAGTTCTTGCGCAAGGTAGAATGTAGGGAAAATCATATGTCATAGTTGCACAGACCTAGTTATCAAGATGAATAGGTGACTGTAATACCACATGCTCTACCATTTATCACAGTTTATCAATTGCTCGAAGCAAAATAATTCCATGGACTAATTAAGAAAAGAAAGCAACTGCGCTAGACCAGCTTGTTCACAGCTCAATGTCACATGGAATAATATGAAAATTTATAGTCCGCTGGTTTTTAGCTGGGGGTTTATTGGAAGCAACCTCTCCACCTCACAAAGTAGGGGCAAGGTATGCGTGCACCCCACCCTCACTGGACCCGACTTGTGGCCTGTGGGACCATACGGGGTATGTTGTTGTATATTCTGATGGTTTTTCTAAGATAGCTTTGGGATATTGCTGGTACGTTAGCAGCCAGCAGACCGAATAAGTGATCAAGTTCCAAAGTTATACAAACTGATTTTGACCTTAACACATTAGACACTTCTGACATCTTGGGAGAGAAAACTAGTGAAACAGATATTTCAGCATGCAGACTTCTATTACTGATATTCTTGAGTGGAAATGTAAAACTTGAAACTAACCAAAAAGAGGTCAAGGATAAAGCTAGTTCTTTCTGAATTATAGTTCAGCCAAAGAATTTAAATATCCTTTCTGATGAGAAAAACAACCATACGTTTACGTTGCTAACACCATTCTACCATAAAAGTCGCTAGCTGGAGCGGTTAGATCCCAACAACACACTACAAATTGCATTTTCTCTTAAAATCTTCTACCATAATATAAATGTAAGGACAAGCTCGTGACTTTTTTATCTCCCTTCCATCAAAGAAAAACCATCGGAGAAGCTTGACGTCGTTCGGAGAGGAAGCGAGAAGCTCGACGTCGTTCGGAGAGGAAGTGGATTAGCTGGGACTAGCACTGAAGGAGAAGACTTTCCATTTCCAGTTTACTTTGTCAATACAAGATGTGGTATATGTATTTGGGCTTGGGTCACTATTGGACCCAAGCCATCAGATTTTTGTTCTTTTTTTGAATAAATGGGCTTGTCCCACAGTTTAAATTTTTTAAAAAAAATAAGAATGTAAGGAAAATATCATGAGAAAATCTTAACTTTAAGAAGGCAATACCAATTGTTAGCAGGAGGCTGAGACCCAACAACACCCTTCGCTCTATCTTTCATGTTAATCAAACCACTATCGGCTTCCTATACCAATGGAGCATTCATGCTTTGTAGCTTTAGAGATATTTTGGAAGAATCAGTGTTCTTCTAGCCACGACATACTGTGTCTAATGTTGACACCATCAAAGACGTGTCTTGCACCTCTAAGATATTTCTGAATTATCTAGCTCATTTGTGCTATTTGTATCCACATACGACATTTATACAAGGACATAGAGTAAATATGGCTCGAGTTAATCATAGGAACAGGCATCATACACATGGCATAGTCGACCTACCACAACTCACCAGATGTAACTAGCATGCAAGATGAACCTCCCACACTCTTAAAAACTTTTTCTATTCACACATACAAGTATGATGGACACTCAGAAACACATATTAATATATTTTCATTTGACATACGTCTAGAAAATACATTAAATTCTGATCCTCACACATACAAGTATGGCACACACTCTGAAGCACATAAATTGATGACTTTTCATGGAACATGGTTAGGAACTATAGAATGCAAGTGGACCATTAATCTCTGATGATTTTCATCAGTTTCAATGAAGTTCTAGACACCTGAAAGTAACAATGATATCAAATAATGATCATGGTTCCCAGTGCACAAACTCCCATCCATTAAAATCATAAACAAGTGATAAAATAAGTAAATAACCTCAGAACCATTTTCATGGCCATTATCTTTCATGGATTCCTTTGGCGGAGAACCTTCTTCTGATCCTTCTGCAACCGGGAATGGTGGCTGAGCTGTGGGAAGATAAATCACTTTCAACTTGCACTCATCAACAACACGTCCATCCTCCTTATTGAACTACAAAGAGACCATTACAATTCAACAAACTAAAACTTAAGTTTGATACAGAAACTATAGTTGATCCAACTTCTTTTGATCTTATTCAATTGTCAACACTAAGTTTAGAATCAAACACTTGTTGAAGTGTTGGACAGTAAAATACGCAACAATTCCACATTTCTAGTCTTGACAAACTTAAAATGGACAAAAAAGAATGGCACTGTTACCATTTCTTGAGTAATATCTTTGGCAGCAACACCAGGAGTTGCAACTACACTCTGAAGTAGAAACTTGTCCTTGCATTGCATGTCAGAAGGGGCCTCCTTCTGAGCTTGCATTGTAACTACAAAAGATACATAAACAAACACTATTCACCAACCATGACATTTTAACAGCATAAATCACAACGCTTATTTCCAATTTCAATCTACATTTTTTTAAATTTTAATCCTCAAAAACACCTTAAATGACTTCACTTTCCAAAAATTCATTTTTTTTCCAATATTTTTGGGCTTATAATATCTTTTGTCTCAATTATTGATAATCTCTAATTTTATCCTGGTGCATCCGAGTAAGCACATTTAATCTTCAATTACTTGAAATGTGCACAATTGATACGTTGCTTGTGAAAATTCACAATTTTTACATGATCACCATATTCCACTGTTACTCTAAAGGAACTAAACATACACATTTCAATCAATCGACGATTAAAGATGTTTTGAACATCACAAGGACTAAATTAAGAATACTTTCAATGATACAAAGTACTATAGTCCCTATTTTTAGTGGAGAAAATTATAATATGTACCTATAACATCAGAAGTCGATCGAGGCGACACAATCCCTGTATTGGGTCGAACACAATACTTTTTGGGGTTCGTCGTTTTGACCTGAAAACAGTATGTACAACAATTCGAAGTTGCTAATTCGAAAATTCAACAAAAAAAATATATAATTACATAATTAATATTACCTTGAAAGCGACATGCTCTTCAGTATTATTTGACAAATGAATCGAGCAATAGATCTGCTTCTTCAACTCGACTAATCAAACACATTATACACAGAAATGCATCAAAAAAAATTCCAAAAAAAATGTGCAAAAAACAGGAAAACGAAAGTATGAGAAACTGAGGAAACTAACAGGGAAATTTGAGCTCAAGGGGTTCGATTTTCAGAAGCTCTCCACTGCTCATTTTCTTCTGAAAGCACAAAAAAATGAATCAAAAGGGAAAAAATCGATACTTTTTTCTTCTTCTGGTAATTTACAATGTAATAAAATTTGGGGATGATCCGTATATATCTCTTCTGTTTCTGTACTTGGGAGGGAAAAACCCCAATTCACAAAGCTCTTTGAAGTGGACTTAATTTAGCTTTTAGTAAAAATATGGGGACTGATTTGTAAATATTTACTTCTTTTTTTTAGTTTACAGATATTCAAAATATTTGTTTTTATTTTCAAGTCTAGAATTTACAATAATTAGAAAGTATTTACTTTTTGAAAAAGTTTAGAATCTATCACGAAAAAAAGATTTAAAACGCTCTTAAATTATGTAAAATTAAATAAAAATGTGCACGTTAATAACTTGGTTAAAAGATGTTGTCAATATTTTGGTTCAATAATGTTTCTTAGATTATGTAGAATGAAAAAAATATGAAGTGTCCACTGTTGATATTTTGATTCAAAAATGTCTTTATTATCAATACTTTAATTCAAAAAATGCTTTTATTGTTAATACTTTGATCCAAAAAGAAAAGTTTGGCTTGCACGTGTTATGATCATATATTTAATTAATCATTAAATTTTAAATATAAATTTATGTGAGCTTGCTCACCTTGCTGATCTCAAGTTCGAATAAAAGTAAAAATAACCAAAAGTTATATGTCATATACTTAATTTGTCTCCAGCAGCTCAAATTCAAATCATTGTCTATACCAGGCCATTCAATTTTGTGATTTATCTGAAACATGATCGAATCGAACTTGGAATTTAGGCATAGTTATTACTGTGATTCTGCGAAGAACAAACTCTAGATACATATGCTTCACACCACACCCGGTCTATTAACGTATACTTGCATATTCGTCCATAGGTCAACTCGGATATATAGCCTTACATACAACAACATGCATAAAAATTGAAAAGGTTGAGCAAAACTATACCAAAATTTAAAAAGAACTGATTCTTTAACTAGAATTTTGTCTGTAAACAGGTTGTCTTATTTAACATAGTTACTCTTTTTTTATTTAAATTCAATTGACAACACCAAGAACCTTCAAAAAAAAAAAAAGATTGAAATTCTTCATTTGGTAACTCAAGCTCTTAACTTTGATACTAATATTTGTTTTTTCAGCTCTTCAATTGGTTGTCCAAGTCCTTCTATCACCTATAAAACATGATCATTTAGGTTCTGTTTGAAGCAACAATTTAACAGTACAATTTTTGTGTCATACTAACCGATGTCATGTCCGTAAGAGCAGCTTCCAATGCCTGGATTTTCTGTGCCATAAACATCGAATCGATGAACTATAGTATAGAGGAAGAACAAGGAAAACGAAAAAATAATCAACTTACTGATTTTGTGTCATTGACTGCACTTTGAAGTGTTAGGATCTTCTGTAGAACTGGCTGTCCAAAAGTATCATCTCTTGATGGAGTCACATCATAGACATCCTTAATACTTACATTATCCGGCTGCATTTACAAAGCTCGAGATCAGACCCTTGACTCGTAGAGAAAGCAAGATTCAAAAGTATTCTTTACTTCTTTAAAATTCGTGTCAAGTCAAAACCAAACAAACAAGTTGAAACAGATGAAGTATAGGCCTAACAGATTTGTCGGTAAGTTATCTTAGATGTTTTCTGAAACTAAATTTGCTTACAGTAAGACCATCAAAGGAATCTTTTGAAGCAGAACAATTCTGTTCTTCATCATCGATATTCTCCTCTTCGACTTCAAGCATTGCCTATACAAAAATGTGACATCTTACTGAACATTTTCAGATACATGTCATGATAATACCAAATATCATTAAATTTGAATCAACATCGCGACAGGTTAAAACCTGAAGTAAAGTTGTAACTGAAGGGTCATTCCACGGTCCTTTATCGCTAAAAAGGCAGCCTCCATATTCGGAACATTTGCAGTTGCCACCTAGGAAAGTTGGAAGATTACTGCAGAAGCAATTTCATGTATCAGAAGAAAACAACTCCTGCAGCAACCTTGGGTACGCGTATTTGCATCCATTCAGGTGCTAAACATAAATTGGAAAAATGTTGAGCTGATTAAATTTTTTACCTTGGATCAATAACTTCTAGTAAGGTCTTCGTGTAGTTGCTCCCGAGCACCTGTAATTGTGGTGTATATCTTAAAAGTACAATTCCCTTCCCTAGTTGTCCTAGTTTAGTCGAGAAACATAGAGGGGGGTGACGGAGAAGGAAAAGAAAGTACTTGAATCTTTGCTAGGGTGCGTTGATCAAGAAATGCCTTGATTGCTTTCCACAAGACTCTGAATCCAGATCCAGCATTGATGATAAAAAGGCGATGCAACGTCTGTAGAAATGCAAGTTGATGATTAGCAAATATCAGTTTTCTTGCGTATTGTCGTCTTCTATTACCATAATTTAATCTATTAGAATGTGCATAACAGTACTATGCTAATATATATTGCTCCTTCTTCCAACCATCTTATAGGGAGCGAGACTTACAGTAAAAGTTGGTATTTCGAGAAGAGAAAGAATAGACTTGCATCACCTAGCATACCTCTGGATAATAGTGACTGTCAATCTTCTGAATTTCCAGAAAGAGAAGCCTTGCAGGCTTCGAAAAATTTGAAATTCCCTGTCAAAGTAGATTGGTTTGTTTCGTTTAGAGATTCTTCGAAGCATAAAAAATCTAAGCATCCATTTGTTATCAGTAATGCAGAATTCTTGGAAGTGCTGAGCATCTATGTATGGAACTTTGTCATCAAAGAAGTTCGATTTTTTCTTAAAGTTCATTTGATGACACTCTTACAACTGACATAGTGAAACAACAGGTCAATCAAATTTAGTTTTAAAAAACATAATGTTAAATCACACGAAAATCCAACTTTAAGGAACTATCGCGTGGATATATATTGATACCTATAGATGGAGACTCGATAGATCATGCCAGAGAGATCTCCAATGACCAGACGCGGTGAGAGATCTAAACTTGTTATGTGTGGTGGGACGACTCAAGCATTTCAATGTGTTAACCAAGATCAAATCATTCTATCAAGATAGTTCAGGGACAGAGAATGCTATGCAGCACGAAAAACCATGTCATTCATGCCTCCTATCTAAGATCATTTCCTCGGTAATCCCTACACAGATGGATAAGAGAGACAACGCTCAACTATCTAACTAAACCTCAACCATAATCCATGTCGTCCATACCTCCTAATATAAGATCATGTTCCTCGGTAATATTCTTATCAATACAAATAAAGTGTGCATATTCTTATCAAATAAGTGAAAGATTAAACAGTAGACAAGCAGAGTTTTACCACATCCTTCACATCCACGATGCTGACGGTGGAAGCTATATGTTTCTTTGCAGCTAGTGAACATGAAGGGAATCTCCAGTTCAATGTTTTCTCTTGTTCAGACACATGATATTTCACAAATCTCTCAATAGTAGTTACTTCAAGTAGCCTAGTGAGATTTACCATTCCAATTCTTTCAATGTATATTGGTCGACCATATCTATCTACACCGTGAAATCCATGAGGATAACACTGTTTAACCTCATTGAATTCCTCAAACATGAACTCCTGCAGCATCATAATGGACAAAGAATCAAAGAGCTGCCGAACATAAGGCAAATTTTCAATCAAGAAGTACTAAAAAACAACAGATAGTAAACAAAACAATACAATAATCGAGGTACATGGAAAAACTGATAGTAACAGAAATCGAAGGACATTTAGTAACAATACAGTCATTCAATCACCTTAGAAATTTCGTCCACATGAAACTCCTCTCGCCACTTCAAAAAGTTCAAATACATGTTCTTTGCTTTTTGAAGATCATAATCCCTCATTCTAAGAAATCTGTATTCACATAAAGTAACATCAAACTCAATTCATCTTCTCTTTACTTGCTGAAAATTGTTCGCATTACAAATTTCATGAGACTAGAGACACGAAGCATACCTTAAAAGCGTATGGTAGTCATTATTTTTATCTATCAACTGACCCTCAAGAAAAACCAACTGACGAAATGAATCAACAATTTGTTCATCTTTAGGATCATGTGATCCTCCAAGAATTACTTGCAAACTTTTGCTCTTTTTCTTTAATGCCAAAGACATTATGGTTTTCGCGGTTCTTGATTTGATAGACTTCTTCTTCTGATCTTTTTTTGGAGGCAATTGCCAAAAAGTCTCTATGGGAGGATGGAGAATTTTGGACTTCTGTTTAGTAGACTCTCCTTCTTTATGAGAACTTCCTTTAATGCCAGCGGAAATTAGTATTTCCTTAAACGTTCCTTTGGATGTACGCATGTGTAGCTAGTTAAACTGTAAACACATAACAAAATCAAGTTTACTTTGCGAATCATGAATTTAAAGCACAAGTTCACATCTCAATTCTCAATACTCTGTATCAAAAGATAATCTAACACTACTAGAGGTAATTTATCTTTAACATTACGAAGATCAATCTTCTCATAATCACACTAGCTTTCAATTTTCCTCGTGTTCTATCTTTTGCTAGATCATACGAGATAACTTCATTCCTCGTCAATTTAGGTCTACTTCATTCTATCCTCTATATGAGCTAGCTACTTGCATCTTCTAACAAATATAATAATTTCTAATCTTGTAACACCGCGTATTCATCTTAACAGTTGCATCTCTACGATCACTCATCTCGTGGATATTGGCTTTAGAGGATCAACATTCATTTCCATACAACATTAATGGGAGGGGGGTTGCAAGTAATATCAAATTTAATATATCATAGAACATTGTATCATAGACAATAAACACAATGTAAGAAGAAGAAAAGAAGTTCTTTTTTTTCTGTATTAAGTTTAAATCCAACAATAATCTTAATCATATATGGTTAAAACAAGGAAAGTACAATCAAGAATTGGATAAAGGTAAAATAAATATGATGAAAAGAGAGAAACTTGCCTATAAATTTTGGAAAATTAAGAAAGAAGACACCAAAAAAGAGAATGAATTTGATTGAAGAATGAAGAAAATATAAATAGATGCATTGAGAGTTATTGAAAGGAATGAACTTTTTGTGAGTCTATGGAATCAAATACTTTATAATTTTCGAATGTTTTAATGTCAAGAAAACCCCGGGAAACCTTAGTGACAACTAACTATAGAATACTGTTATAAGTAATAGTAGTAAATACTACTCGCTCCGTCCCATTTTATATGAGGTAGTTCAGAGTTTAAGAAAGAAATGATACTTTTAAAATGGGTGGTCCAAAATGAATTATAGAAATGGCTGTGAATTATTTCATTAAGGGTAAAATAGGTATTTTATACTTAAGTTGCTACTTAATATAGAAATCTGTCTTCTTTTTTTTTACATTGACTAAAAAAATAAAATAGGTCACATAAATTGGAACAGATAGAGTAGTACTTAATTCCATTTTGATTTGTTTGGCCCAGTTTCATTTTTAGTCTGTTTCAAAAAGTGATTTCTTTTTCGTTTATCCAAATTTTTAATCCAATTTCACGCATGATATATTTAAGACTACGAAATTAATCTGCATTTTGATATATTTGACATACTTTTATTTAAACCCTGTGTAAATTAAAATATGTTGAACATATTGAAATAGGAGAAAGTATTTAGCAATAGTACACCAACAAACAAACAAAAAGTAAAATTTAGGTTGAAAAAAAGCACAAAATACCTTTTCTCAATCCGAGAGAAATGCATATTCTTATTGTGAAACGTGTTTCACACTAAGGAAAGTAGCTACTTGTATTTGAGTAAAATGATTGTAAAAGAAAGTGTAAAGGAAGGTTCAAATAATCCCTTATATAGGTGTTAGCATCGACATAAATTATCTGTAATGTTTTAATAAGTCGATAATTTGCTCATTTTGTGATAGAAACTCAATCACCTTATTCTTCCTGATATGAACAAAGGAGATGATTTTGGTCTATTGAAAATTGATAATAAACATCAAATGTTAAATTTAGAAGAAATTATGAAATAATAATTTTATATGAACTCATATTTGGAGATAAAGTTTTTGTTTATTTCTTATCTATTTTTGGGTATGTGTGACTTTTGCTACTTTATATTTTTTATATTTATATTTTTGGTGTTTAAAATAATTTTTGGTTTTACTATTTATAGGATTTGATATGTTTTTTTTTCTTTGATATTTCTAGTTTAAAAAGTTTTTTTCCCACGATCTCTTTTGTCTAACTAATAGATCTGTTAAATATTTTACGAAAATTAAAAAGATGGTAACTTTTGACAAAATTAAAAGAGCAAGAGACTAATTTTTCTAGTATGAGGGACTATTTTTGCTTATTTTCTCCAATTTGGACTTAAGGCCCAATTTTAGTTTTGAAGTGGATCGTGCATATTGGATCATTAGAAACCCATTAAGCTTCGGCCCACCAAAAAATTAAAGTAAAAATTAAGCAAATCACATAGTCTAAGATAAATATTTTAAGTTTAGCAAACATAAAAATCATATTCGTATGTTATAGCTATAGTTTGTATAATTGCGTCTCATAGCAAATTTTATGTTTGTTATAGCTGTTAATATGAGTATTTCGATATACAGATAAAAATTTAACTTTTTTCTTTGGCAACAACTTACAAATATTTTAAATGAAATTACTTTTCATGTAATCTTTAAATTCATAAGTTTTATTTAAATAATAGTAAGTACAAAGGAACAAAAGGTTAATTTTTCACCAAATTTAGATGCTAAAACTTTTGTATTTTAAATCTCGAATAAAATATGAGGTGCTAACAAATCAATGATTAAGTTGGTTATATTGAATAATTAATTTTCGCGATAACATCTCTCATGCAACTAGATTTCTCTGCAACAATCATTTTCTATAGAAAATATTTCATTATAACTTTTACATATTATTTTTTTAATAACACCATTCTTTTATAACAGCCAAAATATATATTTGAATAAATGAACAATATTAATATGTTTTAAAGAAGTTTAACTATATTAGAACCAAAAAACAAAAGTATTATTTTTCAATTTTCATGGTTTCATATCCTATTTAGTTTTTTAGAAGAAAATTTTAACTCATGATCACAATCATTGCAATAGCAATCATAATTTTTTTATATTGTTTTTGACCAAGACAAGTTTGTAGAACATATATCATTGTTCTTTAAACTATTAGCGCATATATATATATATATGTAATAATGGGGTTGTATTTAATTATGGGGACCTAACAATTACTTGACAAAGTTCATAAATTGGTGGAAAAGACTAGTGTTGAGTGTGATCCCTTAATAAATTTAGAACCACAGAAATCTTCAATTATTGTTGGTTAAGAATTCAATGATTTAGAAGTTTGCATATATTGACATAGTGTTTGTTAAATTTAATATTTTATTATTTTCATATTACTTGATTTTTACTAATCTGAAACATATTTTAAGAATATTTTAATTGAGGGAGTATTGTGTTAAAATAAGATTGTTAATGATGCTTTGAAATTTTAAGTGTGACTAAATCTATTTCTACACCCAATTATCACCGAGTTACTACTCACTTAATATCACAATTATGCGAACACAAGAAATTGAACTTGGACGTCGTGGAGATTCTATTGATTTTGAAGATGTTCAAAATGCTATAATATAAAGTAAGATTTAATGAACGGTAATTTTCTAATGAAGAATATCCAGCTAGTCATATGACAGTATTGTAACTCTGTCTCTGACTGAGTATGAGAAAGAATTAGTAAAATACTTTCGATTCGAGTCAAATGAAATAAAAGGAATGGAGTATAGTAATAGTTGAAAGTTCCTTTCATGATTTTTACCTATGAAGTGCTAAATCGCAACATGTTTTTAATTTAATTGTGTTGAATATAGAGATAAGTTCGGGATTTTAAATTATGAATTTCATACTACTAATTTTAGACGAAATAAATAGGTACACCAATATTCCATCGTCATATATGAACTTTCCTAGTATTGTAAATAGAGAAAATATTTACCCTCATCCCCCTTACCCCAATCTCCTTTCTCTCCGCTATGGGATCTAATTTTTATAATATTTATCTAAATTATATATTTAATTTCTTTAAAATATCTGTTATATTACTTATTTTTTAGAAAAATATTTTTATCAGCACCAAATACACTTTTTTAAAGATAAAATTCTTGGTGGGATATTTTTTTTGTATTTTGTCTCCACCATTATGAATAAAAAGCTACTTGATGTGAGACAATTTCCCATCTTTTTTTGCTTTTCCACTTCACTTATTTAACAAAAACAAAATATTTTTTTATGGATGGAAAGAAAATGGTTGAACCACTTGGTTGTGTTTTAAGCCATTATTTTTCAAGTGGCATATTATAGGTCTAGGATTTCACTTATTATAAAAAAAGAAATTGTTGTTGTTAGTCTATACCAGACAAATGGCTCCCTACCAAAAAGCACAAACAACATATAAATTTTAAAAAAGACAACTGGAATTTTGCTACCTCTAAATACATATACATATATATATGTGTGTCCCATCTTTCAAAAACTTTTCAAAATGGTTGTAAGTAGAAGCAAAGCCAGCCAATCATCGATGGTAGCGGAGTAGTAAGTATTTTCTTTTTTAATTTTTAGAGAAAAATATCTGATATACTTTTTAATTTTTTTATTTGTAATTAATATACCCCTCGTTATAAAAGTGGTTCATATATGTTCTTATCGTTATACAAACGGTTCACATATACCTTTCATTTAATGGAAGTTAAAAAATTAGTTTTAAATTTATATTTATTACTTCTAATTTTTTTAAAAAATTATTTAGAGGTATATATGATTCTTTTATTAAAGTTCAGGGTATATTTTAATTTTTTCATACATAAATTATTTTTTGACTTCTTTTACTATAATTATTTGAGTTTCTTATTCTTATTTTGTTTTTTCTTTCGTTCCTTAGTTTAAAGAGAGAGAAAACTAAACTATTTTTTTGTGTGTATTGTAATTCAATTTCGTATTCGAAGGAAAAAATTGGTCATCTGCAATAAGTTTTACAAGAAAATTAGTGAAACATAAATAAATTTGATTATGAAAATAATAATTATAAATTAGTCATTGAAACAAAAAAAAGTCAAAAAAAATATGTTTGACGAGGATTAAATTTACTTATATGGGATTATATTTTTTAGAAAAATAAATAAAAATTTAGATTAAAATGATTATTTTTTCATTTCTGTTAGAGGTCAAGGATATATGTGAGTCATTTGTTTACAAGTAGGGGTAAATATGAGTCACTTTCATAATAAGGGGTATATCAACTCTAAATGACAAAGTTGAGGGGTGTATCAGACCTTTTTCCCTAATTTTTAATTAGATATAGTTTGACTCTTACTCTTTGTTGTTAAGGAGTGTTTTATTCCTCAATTTGGAGCTTTTCTATGTAAATTTTGATGTAGTCTTTAGAGTTCAAATATGTGTACTGAACACTGGGCAAGAAATTAGAAAAAAACGTCAAATCATTATATTTACCTCTTTGCAAATTATGTGACAATTTTTTCTTTAATTCATTTCAAAAAAAATATTACTTTACAATAATTCAAGATAATATATCATTTTTTTTCGTTGATAATTAGTAAATAATTTATACCAATATAAATGGTCATGATTCATGAAGTAATTTAGACAATAATTTTTTTAAGAAAATATTATACAAATTGCCACTTACAAAATATTTATAATTTTAGTGATTGGTCATGGACAAGTACAAATTTATTTTATATTTTCTTTGCTTTTTCTTCTTGGTGAATCTGCTTTATGTTTGTTTGAATGAAAACAAATGGAAGGCTGCAAGCTGGCAATCTAATCTTCTTTTCTAAAAAAAAATGACAATATTAAGATAT